AAGATAATAAAGAGAAAGGAGAAAAAGAGAGAAGGAGGAAGGGGAGAAAGAGAGGCCGCAAATAGGGAAGAAAAGAAGGGGAGAAAGGTTAGAAAGGAAGAAAGGATGGAAAGAGAGAGAGAAGGAAGAGAAGAAAGGGGGAAAAGAGAGGGAAGAGAAGAAAGAAACGGCGGAAAAGGGGAGAAAGAAAAAGGTAAAAAATAAGGAAGGAAGAGAAGAAATAGAAAAAAGGAAGGGAGGAAAAGAGAAAGAAAAGGAAGAAGGAAACAGAGAAGAAAGGGAGAAAGAAAGGTGTTTAATTCTCCACCTTGAAATAAATCTAGTTTTGATAAATGTGTCTTTTTTCCCCCAGCGCGGCCGCTTTGCTCGTGGGAGAAAAGCTACCAGAAGAGACCACTTTGGTGGTAAGATTGTGTTCAGAGACCTCAAAATGCGCTCTGTTTAGGCCTCCAATATATATAATAATCTCTTTATCTATAAACAATAATAAAGTGAAAATCTGTATGTGTGTATGTGGCTGGGGTGTCCGCTTACATAGACAAGCTCCTCGGGGTTAACCTGGCATGTTGAGAGTTGTAGTTCACCCACAACTACGTATGATCGGACCGTAAACAGTCCTTTTTCTCCCAATTTCCTTCTCTCCTTACCAGGATGATCCTTTTAAGGTCAAGACGGGCGGCATGGTGGACATGAAGAAGCTGAAAGAACGGGGTAAAGACAGGTATTATTATTATTATTGTTATTATTATTATTTACGACATTTATAGAGCGGCGTACAAGTTTTATGTAAATATATTATTACATTTATATGCTGCCCTTCTCACCCCGAAGGGGACTCAGAGCGGCTTACAAGTAATATGTAAACACAATATATTATATTATAACCATAACACAATATTAGTATCATATAATACTATATTGTAATATACTATTATACTGTAATAGTATTAGTAATATTACATGCAATATAAAATATATAATTATAATATCGTATTATTAGTATTATATTATATTACATTATCACATTATCAATATTATATGTATATACAATATGTTATATTATATTATATTATTAGCCAGTGCAGGAGACACAATTATTATTTATTTATTTATTTACTTACTTACGACATTTCTATGCCGCCCTTTCTCACCCCAAAGGGGATTCAGAGCAACTTACAAATAATATGTAAATATAATGTATTATATTATTATATTATTATCATAGCACAATATTAGTATAATATATTACTATATTGTAAAATACCATTATACTGTAATAATATTAGTAATATTACATGTAATATAAAATATATAACTATAATATAGTATTATTATTAGTAGTAGTATTACATTATAATATTATAAATATTATATGTATATACAATATATTGTATTATATTATATTATATTATTAGCCAAGTGCAGGAAACATTATTATTATTATTGTTATTATTACTATTATTATTTTTATCTGCCATTTCCCTCTCAAATCGTATAGTTCTTAAGGCCGCGAGT